TCTGAATTAATAATCATGAGTATGGTAATTTGTTTATGTATATCTAGTAAAATCGATGAAGACACTTCAGGTCTGAATATGTCTCCTGCTTCAAGTTGTTCAGCTAATACCCCGAAAAGCATCCAGTCCATGAACAATGACCAATTGACGGTGCTCCAGGAGGAGCTATTTGATAACTGTATATTTTATTATCATAGAATTCTGGTTATAAATGACGGTATAGAAACGATTCAGGCGATCATTTTGTTAATCATTTACATAGAATCTAGTTGGATCACATCTCATGTGAGTTATATGCTTATTTCTGTGGCTATCAGGTTTGCACAAGAGATTGGGTTACATCGACAAGAATCATATGCTAATTTATCAGCTGAAGAATGTGAGACGAGAAAAATGATATGGTGGTGCTGCTACTGCTTTGACATGGAAATTTGTTTTAGAAGCGGGAAACCTCCACTTATAAATGGACTAGATATTAGCATTAATTCTGAAAAAGATCTTTTCTTTGCTGCTGACATAGAGAGTTTATCCAACCATAGTAAGAATGAAGATCTAAAATATCTAGATCATAGGAAAAGGTCGAAGGCACAAATGCAATATTATTTCTTGTTGTTGACAAGAATTAGATCGAAAAGTTACAACAGTCTTTTCGTTGCGTCAGCCCAAACAGAATCGTTTGAAAATTTACTGTTAACGTTGGAATCGCTAAATATGGAAATATTAAAACTCGGAGACTCAATGGAGTCACTAATGAGACCAAGATTCTATAATGACCCAGAATTTCATAATATATATCGACAATTCGAAGCCCCAAACATGAAGGATATTTTAGTTGTGAACTTCATGTATTTTTCACATTTAATGGTTATAAACAGAATCCCATTTTTGATTGGAATACCAGATAGCAACGACACTTGTGAAAAAGGTCTTTCATTCCGAAATCTATTTCTTGACAGTGCTAGAACAATCCTTATTATAGCTAAAAACATGCCACGTGAAAATATCGGCCTTTCTTTCTACAACTGGCTTGTTTTTTTCCCTTCTGCTGCATTCATGTGTTTACTGGCAGCTTGTATTAACCATCCTACGGCGACAGGGACGTATAATGATGTAAAAGTATTAATTGATAGTTCCATGAATTTTTTCTCAATTAAGAAAACTTGGCCAGTGGAAGGATTTAGCAGATTCAAGGTATATCAGTCTAAAGAAGCGTTGGTTGATTTAATTGTTAAAATATTATTAAAAATTGTGATAAGGGTCTTTGAGACTAAGACAGGCATACAGATTTTAGCGAACAATGAATTGTTGAGAGAGCATTTAGAAAGCACTGAAAGACAATTTCCTGATATATTTAAAGAAAATAGAGATTTTAGTTCACAGTTTGCTTCAGTATTGAATGATGGGTCATCATTTGGAACTCAAGGCTTTATTAAAGTTGGTGGAGGTTCTCCGTTCACTTCGGTTAAATCTTTTAATATGAGTCCTAGCTCCTCATCATCACATGAAGGTAATGCTTCCTTCCACCGCCAGAATAATCATGGAGTAGGACGTAATGGAAATCAAAGTTACGAATTCTCAAATAATATGAGCCCAAATTTATCTAATACTTTAAACTTGAATTCTAATACAAGCGATAATTTTATGAATGATGAACTACTTTCAGATTATATTAATGATGATGGCCTCTCGTCAATTATAAATTCCCAGATGAATAATCTACCTAATTTCTTCTTTGATAATAATTTGGGTATATAATGCGTGAGACAGAATGTACAATTAACTGTGTATGCTAATAGAATATTTATAATTAAAAGCTATTGAATATATGTATAAATTTGGAAATATTAAAAATAAAAAGCTTATACTAGCGGAATATATCATTGAGATTACATTCAATGGTTTGTTAAATGCTCAATACCTACATAATAAACATGAATAAGTTTGTAATATTAAAACAACATTAATTATTTAATTATCTGGTACGAATTACACCAGCAGCTATTAACATATTAATCTTCTTACTAACCTCAGGATTTCTCATGTGGTCCTGTAAAGCAGCAGGATTTTCTCTTGCTTGCCCTAAAATACCTTGCATAACTGGGTCTTGTAAAATACCAACAATTTCAGGATCCCTTGAAACTCTTTCCATAGTTTGTTCTGGTGTTTCACCTTCGAGGGCTTGAAATCTTTGTGACAGAGCCTTGTTAAATAATTGGTCAATTTCAGAAACATTCTTACCTTCACCAACTTCTAAATCCTTTTCTCTAGCAATATTTAACGTCTCCATAACTTGGGAATATTCTCTCATAGCCAATTGTGCATTAGCCTTTCTAATATAAGCTCTGATAAATGACGGATCCTTTTCAATAGCTTTGTTACAATCTTGAACTGCATCAGGGAACGACATTAATTTCGCTAACGCCGCAGCTCTGTTAGAATAACCTCTTGCATCTTCAGGAGCTCTCTTAACCATTTCAGTATATGCTTTTACCGCGTTAGGCCAATCACTTTTAGTGAAGTATTCCTTACCTTGTAATCTAGCTTCTTCAGCTTTTTCTGGGTCAACATAGCTCAATGCTTCTTGAGTCTTTATTTCTCTTTGTGTAGCTCTTAATTTATTCAAAATATCAGGAGTTCTATGTTCGGTCAATGATTTATCAAAGTACTTAACAGCAGACTGTAAATCGTTCTTTTTCAAGTAGGTATTTCCTAATCTTGCAAAAGACTTAGAGATAAGCTTATAATCTGCTCTTACCTCTCTACCTTGTTCAATAGCAGTTTCACATGTTTTAATGGCAGCATCATAATCACCCTTTTCATATTCTGCAGCAGCACGATTGTTCAAGTAAGTAATATCATTATGTAATTCCCAAGCCTTATTGTATTGTTCAATTGCTTCATCGAATTTTTTCAATTTGTATAACTTGTTACCTTCCGCTTTTGCGGCATCAGCATCGGCCTTAGACGAAGACGAAACCTCAGCATCTTCCATTTCAACATCTTTTGGTTCAGGAGCAGACTCTTTCTTTGGTTCAGACTTTGGTTCTTGTTTTGGTTCGGATTTTGGGGCCGATTGAGAAGGTTGTTGTGGTGGTTCAGGAGCATCCATATCAATACCCATCAAGGTTGCCATGACGGTCATTAATCTTGGGTCACTCAAAAACTGGGTTGCGTTGGCTTGTGGATTGGTTTGCATGTTAACAACTTTTTGAACTAATTCTGGGTCCTTCATCAATTCACTAGTCTTTGGGTTATTCTTCAAGTTTGTGATCAAGTTAGGATCAGAGAACATAGCTCCTAATCCCATATCAGGTTGGGAGTTTCTAGCCCTCTCACTATCTTCAACACTCTTTAATCCATCCTTGGCCATGGTATTGTTCGAGTCTAATTCTAATGCCTTCTTATACGAAGTTTTAGCCTCATCTAAATTACCTAATCCGTGTTGGGCAGAGGCGACACGATTATACCCCTTAGCCCATGAATCGTTAACTTTGACACATTCTTCAGCATCTTCTAAAGCCTTTTTGAAATTCTTCAATGACGCATACGATGCTGACCTGTTGGAATACAAAACATGATTTGGTGTTGGTGATGCCTCAATGGCTTTTGTAAAATATTCAATAGCTTTGGTGAAATCCTTAGCTGCGAAGTATTGGTTACCTTGGGCTTTAAATTCTTCTGCTGACATTTCTTTAATTGTGGTTGTATTGGTTGTACAATTTCTTTTCAAGTAGATGTTCTTTTTTATATATTGTGGTGATAAATATTAAATTCTAGAAAATTCCACAAATTACACAGGGCTCGGTGAGAATAATTTATCGATTATTAAATGTAGAAGTAAGAAGACAAAATTATAAGAATAGATATAGAATGATGCAGGAAATTTGCTAGAGAATACTGAACGTATACCCAGCTAAATTGGTGTTGAATTAGAGGTTTTTGATATTAGACGTTATACTAGGTTATCGCAATACCGAACACTCGTCAACTATCTGTTCTACCAACTCCAAAGGATAGGCAGGACCATACCCATGACATCTTTCATTTCCCTTTAGACAATTCATTATCTCTAATATGTCCAAGTTTTCATATTTCTCGCTCTCTTGTGATTTTAACTGCAAGTAATCCCAAACTGCACCGACGGCCAATAGCTTTTTCCCTGGTACTTCGGGATTCTCATACACTTTGTTTATGGTATCGTTATTGACGTCGTGGCTTCCTGCTAATCCATATATGAAATCCCTTTGATTTTTGGGGAATATAACGTTCGTAGTATCATTAGATTTATTGACAAGGTTTTGCTCGGACGAAGATTTGTTCTTCAAGTATTCATTTTCTGTCAGTATTGAAAAATTCTGTTGTTTGACTAAATTCAATTGACTTAATAGACGTCGTTTCTCTTCTTCAGACTCCGCTAGCTTGCATTCTAGTTCTTTTAGTTTGGTTTCCTTCCGTTCACGGAAAGCTCTTTGCGCTGCCCTATTTTGGGCTTTTCTTTTCATTTGAAGCTCCTCCTCATTTAATTCTGAATCATCCTTGGCAATTAACATCGCATCTTGTTCGTTTAAAAGCTGCTTTTTTGACTTTGGTTTCTTCTTATCTTCTGAAACTGATACTGGCGAGAATATTCCGTTAACCTTAGAATTTAGGTGTGAGTTAACAATACCACTAGGAGACGAGCTCGTACTTATCGACTCGTTATTAGCATAGTTATATGTCCTAGAAATATCCTCATCTAACATATCTTCATTTGAAGAAGGGTATTGTCCATTATTCAAAATATCAACATTCTCCTGATTCAATTCTAATCTCATTCCCTCTCCCAAATAGTTATTATTACTTAGCGCTTGATCCCAATATGACGCATCCATGAGCGGTGACGCATTATTATATTCCATCTCTGTCTTGTTGTTGTAATATATTTTATCTAAACCAGATGATTAATTACTGAATAATACTTTTCTAGAAAATCAATGGCACATGATCTCAACATGCGATAGTTTTTTTCTATTACTGCCAATTTCTGATAACGGTGAAGTTGCAGAATATCAGACCAATGGGGTACGAAGAGGCCAGCTATACTCGGATGTACTAAATCAAATCATTTGGGTACATACTGGTATGAATTTAGGTAATTTGGATAAGAAAGAGTTGAAGTTACGTTGAATGCAAATTACATAGAACCAGAATTTGAATACTGAGTATAACGCATTATGAAATCTTGAGCAGGTCACTTCTTCCTTTTTATAAAATGTAAATGATGTTTCTATGTGTCTCATACTTTAGTGGAGTAGTAATAAATAAAGATGAGAATAATGTATATATTAATACATAATCAGCTGCTTTATTGTGTTGAATTTGTTCTAACTTTTTAACTATGTCATTTTGACACATGTATGCCAAATTCATCTTTTGAGATGAAAAGAGGGAGTATTTAAAACTTATAGAAGTGGTCCCTAATAATGAACCTATTAAAAATGATATTATCATTTGATTATGTGCGCCATATCTTTTATTTGTAAACAATTTTTTTAATATAGATGTTGAATTTTTACGTATGTTATAAGATGGATAGATCTTAAAAGGCCAAGAGTTTAGTATAGTAATATACCAATATAAAAATCTCAAATGTTGCGCCACTTATTACGTTCACTTGTCTGATTAATCAATAACGAATGCGTTGTTTGTTTAACTTACGGCAAACTAACGGCATATATATATAGTACGTTTCAGTTACTCTAGTTGTTAGTGACCCCTGGACAGTACAGAGCTCTAATCATTTCTTTCATCCGGATACATGTGGAATTATATATATCTATGCAGACAAACGTATATCCATGATCTAGCATTAGTTTCTGACAAACATTCTGTAAGGGAACTGGGTCTAAATAAGGTAATTCTTATAACTAACTCTTAATATACTATGTAGATTCTATTAATTTAAATTTGACTTAACTTATAGAATGACAACTAACTAATTACTCTCTATTTAGGTAATAATTCTCTTCATCTGTATTCGGAGATTTACTGGGATTCTTCTACGTATTTATAGTTTTTTAATCGTGGTTGTAATTACAACATGTTGCAAAGCTTTTGTATATATATAAGCATATATGTATAAGCATGTTCTCTTACACATTCTAATAATGCGGATTTAGCTCAGTTGGGAGAGCGTCAGACTGAAGTCAACTTCAGTCCAGTTAATCTGAAGGTCCTGTGTTCGATCCACAGAATTCGCAATTTTTTTTTTGACATCTATCGAAATTATAGTGGTTATGGAAAATCCGTCATGATAACCATTATAGCTGGAAAATAGAGGAATTTGCAAATATTTTTGGTTGATGAGTGTTCTTTTAGAAACAACTGAAGGAAATATAGTCATTGACTTGTTTATTGACCAACAGCCGTTAGCATGCTATAATTTCCTTAAACTATGCAAGTTGAACTATTATTTCTTTACACCATTTTATAATTTACACAAGGACTTAATAGTGAGTAGTGGAGACCCAGATTATCCAGAAAACATAGATGGTAATGCAATTAACAGTTTTGGAGATGTAAGTGTTAATGACACGGCAGTGAAGCAGAATAAGTATTTACATATACCCAGCACACAGCACGAATATGCCGATAATAGTATTGGATTAGTGTCGTTCGTTACTAAAAATGGTACAAATGGAAAAGATCTAGTAATTGGTTCACAGTTCACAATCAGTCTTACAGAAAATACAGATAATTTGAAGTCATTCAACCAGGTATATTTTGGTAAAGTGGTAGAGGGATTTCAGGTATTGGAGAAGATCAATTTGTCGGTAGTTGAGAACTTAGAAACAAGGAGATTATTGAAGGATATACGGATTACTCATACTCACAATATTTATGATCCATTTCCAGATCCTAAGTTCATGCATAAGAAAAAATCGACGGAGTTGCCGTCAGATACACAGATTGCAAATATGAGGATTCCTGGTTTGGTTTCGGAAGAAACGTTAGAAGATAGTTCGACATACCTGGCGTTAGCATTGGAGTTAATGAATGATTTGCCCCATTATCAAATTAAACCTTCGCCAAGAACATTATTTGTTGCAAAACTAAATCCTATAACTACATCGGAATCGTTAAGTATCATATTTAACAGGTTTGGCAAAGTGATTAATTGCAATGTGGTGGGGGATCAGAAAACAAACAAAAGTTTATGTTATGGGTTTGTCGAGTTCGAAGACAAACAGCAAGCAGATCGGGCTTATAGTAAATTAAAGGATGGCTGCATAATTGATGGTAGGAACGTCGTAATAGACTTCTCGCAATCGGTGAAGAATATGAAACTACGGAGATAACGTAAAAATACTAATAATAATGATTCTTTTATAAATCCTAAATACTAACCATAAAAATAAGTGAATATCCGAAGATAACAAATTTAAAGAAGAAATAAATCATGAAATTGATCATTAAAAATTGTGTCAAAGTTGCTCCAACTAACCAACAAATTCATCTTCATCCCTCTTCTCACTAAGACTTAGACTTAATCTTTTTGCTCATCACATTCCTTAGAAATGTGACCAGACTTACCACAGTTGTAACAAGTCTTGGAGGTGAATTCACCACCCGATGCGGAGTTACAATCCTTGGAAATGTGACCAGTCTTACCACATGCATAACACTTAACAACACCAGCTTGACAGTCTCTGGCATAATGGTTTGGTCCACCACACTTGTAACAAGTAGTGGCTGGTTTTTGGAATTTACTGCTTGCAGGCTTTTTAGCCGCTTCATTGCCCGCCTCGGTACAGCTCTTAGAAATGTGTCCAAATTGTCCACAGTTGTAACACTTAGCACCTTGTGATTGTGTTGGACAGTCACTTTGAACGTGTCCTAAATCACCACATGAGTAACATTGCTTTTGAGTAGCTTGTTTTGGAGCTGGGCAGTCATTAGATTCATGTCCCGGTTGGCGACAGTTATAACATAACCTTTGTTCTTGTTGACAATTATCAGCTAAATGTCCAACTTCACCACACTTGTAACAACTTCTTGGGAAAACAGCAGCCATCTTTCTTTTCCTACGTATCTACTTTTTAGATTATTATCTAGTATATTAAGTACTTAATTAATCGATATAATTAACCGATTTGTGTTAACCGAAAATTTTTTGCTGGAAAAAATTCAGCGTTACCCGCAAATTAATATATTCCTTTATATATAGCATCACCTGTAAGGCATGTCTTCTTCATTTCAGAAACATCGTGGACTCTAATTATGTCAGTATTCTGTTGAATACAGGCCATGATCGATGCAGCCGTACTTATAACTCTTTCAGATGCGACTGGCTCGTTGCATATAGTACCTAAAAACTTTTTTCTAGAAGGACCTAAAAGAGTACTTAAACCATTAAAACTAACGTAGGAATGATTAATATGGTTATCATCATCTCTTTTGTTTAACAACATGGAATAATTCTTAAATGCAGAGGCATGCTTGATAACGTTGATATTTTGGGATACGTTCTTAGCGAAACCGATGCCAGGATCCAATACCACTTGCCATTTCTTAACACCTTTATTGAATGCTTTGAGAATTTGTAAACCGAGTTCTCTAGAAACACCGTTGATTAAGTTCTCCACATCAGGCTTTGGAAGGGAAATATGATGCCCAGTGACCGGATCAGTCAAATACTCGATTATATCTTCATTTGTATTTGATTCGTAGGTTGTTAGCTTTGACATGGTTTGTGGGGTACCCCTCGTATGATTCATGATATATGGACATCCATATTTTGCAACCACATCGAACATGCAATCGTCGTAGAGACCCATCGAAATATCATTGATAATGTCAGCACCAGCTAATAGGCATTCTTCGGCGATTTTGGCTCTATATGTGTCAATTGATATCACACATTGCGATAATGCATTATTAGTAGACAGTCTAATTGCTTTGACCACAGGTAATAAACGATCAAGCTCTTCTTGCACGGAAGGCTCGATACTTCCGGGCCTGGTAGAAACACCACCGATATCTAAGATATCAGCACCTTCTTCTATTAATTGGTTCGCGTTTTCAAGGATCTCATTGATAGATTTATGGTAATTCTTTCCCGCATCGCTAAAAGAATCAGGGGTCATATTGAGAATGCCCATAATTAGTGTCTTACGTTTATTTTCAACATGATCAAATTTCAAAGGATTACTTGCATCTGGCAATCGCGGAATTGGTACAATTTGTAACAAATTAGAAGATTCTTGAATCAGTTCGTTTGTCTCACTAGTGAATAATTGACGTGAGTGGTTATGGAGTGGTTCAGCGCTAACAGGATGTAATACATCCGGACCAAATAATTCACATAACGGTTGTAAGACAAAGGTTCTTTCCAACATAGATTTATGCGGAATTATTAAATCATCAGTGTTTAAAATAATATCATCGATTAATAGGATGTCAAGATCTATAGTCCTTGGACCATTTTCAAATTCTTTGACTCTTTTTACATGATCGTATTCAATTTGTTTTAATGCCTTGAGTAATTCATGTGGTGTCTTATCCTTGAATGAAACTTTAATTGCACCATTATAAAAATCTGGTTGATCTTTAAAATACATTGGCTTTGAAATATACAATGATGAAGTGGCTAATAATTTAATGCCATAAGACGACAATAATTGCAATGCATCGTTAATGTTTGAAAGCTGGTTTTCCTGATTAGATCCAATTGCAATATAAGCAATATGTTCCTCATGCTTATCAAATTTAGAGTCTTCAACAGAAGTTGGTAAATTATAATTAGGTGCCGAATTAACACTAGTTCCAATATCGGTAATTGGATCAACATCTTTAAATGAAGCTTTAGACATGTTGGACGAAACTCCTACACCATCAGTGAAAGTAATTGCATTAGGCTTTGTAACAGTGGCAGAAACATTTTGAACCCCATCACCATGATTTTGCATCACTAATTGACCAATCTTCATAACCAAAGCTTCTACTGTTTTAAAATTAGAAGACTCAACGTAAAGTGTTAGTTCATCGATAATCTTATGGATTGATATGTTAGCATTTTTTTCCAATTTTATCGAAATGTTAATATCTACGATCTGTCTCTGCAACCTTTCAAACGTAAAAACACCAATGACGGTTAATAACTTTAATCCATAAACATTTATTTCATCGGGTGATTCAATATCTTCAATTCTTGATCTACATATTTTGTACTCAATACTATCAGTCCGTATCTCTGATTTATTACTCTTAATGGAAACAACAGCTTGATGCCCTCCTCCCTTTTTCTCATCTAGTACAATTTCTCCAACTGACTCAGCAATACTTCCTAAGGATTTGAAATTTCTATGTTCATTTGCTTTCATATATTCGGCAATGTTCCTTGATATGACTGCGTAATTTAATGAATACTTAAGGTTGTCAGTAACGGAAGCCTGATGAAAATCAGTATTCAATGATACAGATATTGTGATCGGTTGCGGTGTCGGCCTATTCCAGGCATCCTTACCAGTAATGGCTATGGAAGCTAAATTATTTATGAAAACCGTATCTTGTAGCATATATCTTGAAGTATGAAATGAACGTTTTGCTGCCGGAAAAATAACCGACTTTAATTTATTGAATTGCAACAGTATGGTTATAAAATGTAATACAATACCAACGGGTTATATTCCGTATGTTAAGAATTGATTTTGTTTAGGAAAATTGTAACGGCCCTGACAAATTTTTTATATGGGAAGTCGGACTGAAGAGGTCGGTTTAATCTTATCAACAATAAAGATAAATTCTATAAAGCACACACATACATATACATATATATATTATAAAATACAGTTGTTGTCTTTGTATTTCTATTTCAAAGGTTTACGAAAATGCAGTTCTTCAATCATCTTCGTCACTACTAGTGCCGAGAAATTGGTCTAATATGTCAGTTTTTGACTGTTTTGTATCATTAATGTCAGGTTGACTTTCATTTACCATGGACTTAGTTTTAATTTCGTTATCACTATGCTCATCAATTTCCAGGCTATTTGTATCATCCAATGTAATACCTTTCATGAATTCTTTGGATTCGTCGTTTAAGAGCTCACCAATATTTAAATCGTCAATTAATTCTGTTGAATCCGAAATCACAGTACCATATTCTGAACTTTCTTTGACGATTTTCTCTGCTTCAGAGACGGTACAATCAAAATCATGCATGACGAATCGTATAATAATCTCATTTGCTAAAACAAATGTAGAGAAGCCACTGATTGTCCAATATGATACTGTTTTATTCCTATTTGCAGCATTCTGCAAATCTTTCTTATGTCGACTTAAAATAATTGATGCAATAAACAGTTGCCTCTTAAAGCCGTAGTAGCCACCAAAAAATTCTTGCCAGTTTATATTCCATTTTTCTTTATGGGTCATTGTCTCATGGTTAGATGATTCAGATATTGATTTCGCCATATCATAGAAGATTGATGTATCAAGCTTGCCCTTTAATATTTGAGGTATAATGTACAAATGCGCTTCTGTTCTAGTCAACAACGACTTTTTAGACGATATAGGTTTAGGATAGTCCTTATCTTTAAATTTCGATCGAACAGCTTCTATGCTCGCCTGTTTACGATTTTCCATAGTTGATAAGATGTTTCCCTTCATCATTTCAACTGCAAAATCATCATCGCTTAAGGCAAATTCTCCTTCGTTATTTCTAACCTTTTCCATATAATCTTCGTACTTGTTCGAGTTTGCTGCTATCAACCTATCTAATATTTGTACTTCTTTTTCATTATTATGCTCTTGGCTCTTCGCTGGACTACTGGACAATTGCTTCAAATTAATTAATTGTGTTTCTGTTTCACTATCAGAATTGTTAATATTCGGCATATTGATATTGGAATTAGGTGAATTATAATCAGGATCGTATTGATACCTTCTTTTATTAAAGGTATCTAAAATGTTGAAGTCAATATCTTTCTCATCATCATTACTTTGCTTTCGACCTATTTTGATAGGACTAGAACTAAATGATACTCGTGGTTTTTGCTGTTTCCTAGGTTTCTTTTTTACTAAATTATTCACAATTACAGGCTGAGATTTTCTCTTTCTTCCATTACTGGGGCCTGTACGACGTGAATTACTGAACAAGTCCGATCTGTCATGTAGATGAACTACAGATTCATTTTTTTTTGAGTTCGGCAAAGTTATTGACTTAGACTCTGGAGACCTGCTCTTACTATGACTTAGACTCAAATATTGTTTTGAAGCCGCCATTAATTAAGTATTTTTCATAGAGATTATTGTATCTTTTAATTAATTTTTTGATTCATACTACGCGATAATTTGACTTACTAATAAAAATTATTCTACGATAGAATAGTAAAATGAAAACTTATATTACATACATATGAAACTATTTAGTTTCCGTGAATAAAATCATTGAGGTTGGTTCATTCCTCCATTTTGAAAAAAATTTGCCAATTGTGCACTTAAATTTGGGTTACCACCACCTTGATTTAATGTGTTCATAAAATCATTTGCTTGAGGAAAGTTTCCTTGAGCAGGTTGAGCAGGTTGAGCGGGCTGAGCAGGCATTGAGAAACCTGGATTTGGGCTATTGGAGTTTCCAAACAAACCACTAAGTGGATTTACAGATGATTGAGTTAAAGTTGTGAAATCTGGTTGTGCACCATGAGACATGGATGCATTCTGTTGAGGAATTAATGTAGTTTTAACATAATCTTCATCAGGTTCACCTGGTTTATTAGATTTTGGACCATTTCTCGCAGAATTGGTAGGCATTTTCTTAGACATAGCTTTTGAAGATATACCAGTACCAATTTCAATATCGGGCTCATCGATGACCATACCACTCAGCAATGGCTGTCCACCAGTACCACCCCATTGTGCTTGAACAACCCAAGCCCTATCGGCATCGGTCAATCTTTGGATTGGAATAATTGAGATACCATGTTGATAATTGCAACAATCTCTTGGTCCAAACCCAACACCCCAACGAGTTCTTAACGGCAATGCATTATCTTTGTTAAATGAGGTAATAACCTGCTCAGCTTCTCTTCTTGAATACACCTTTACAAAAGCGTGCTTTCTTTCACTATTCAAAATAACGGATTGAACTTCTGCAAATGGTCTCAAAACCGATGCTAATTCCTTTTCATCCATATTTCTTGGAACACCTCCGATGAATAAAGTTCTTGATAATACCTTAAAGGATCCTTGTGGCAATGATTGATCAAATCCAACATTACGAGGACGGTAATGAGGGGTGCCTGGTAAATTCATCTCACCGTTCATTTCATTCGGAGCATTGAAGTTTGGAGGTCCACCAGGAATTTGAGGCATTGGCGACTGTTGAGTTGGGAATTGCTGGGGTATCTGTTGCTGGAATGGTTGTTGGAATTGTTGTCTTGGTGGTGATCTATCTCTTCTGTTGTTCTGTCCAAAACGGTTTGGTGATCTTGATCTGTTTCTTCTAGAATAACTAGTAACATTATCATCATTACGACCGCGTCTACCAGTGCCATAGTCTGGTTGTCCAGTTTGTCTTGGTTGTTGTTGAGGGATTGCAGGAAGAGAAGCACTGCCATTTTGCATTTGTTGCAACATATTGAAAATATATTGTTCATTTGGCGCAGATTGCGCCGCTTGAGGAGCATTATTCTGTTGAGGAGCGGCACCATTACTACCCGCCATAGCTGAAAGTTGGGATAAAATATCATTAGCATTATTTCCAGATGGCTGTTGTGGTTGTGGAGGTTGTTGAGTTGGAACAGCGGAGGCAGTAGTAGGCGTAGAGCTATTCGAATTAGACTTCTTTGCCAACGATGCTAAAGCCAGCAAGATACTACCAGAATCGTTTGAATTACTCTCAGGTTGTTTCGCTGGTTCAATATTATTACCGGGAGGAGAGCCAGGAGGAGTGGTGGAGCTGAAATGCTTCGACCTGATCTTATTGATAATCTCTGGTTTGAACGTTTCAGCTCTTTCCCAAATATCTACTAATTTACCAATTTTAATTGACTGGGACTTACTTACCAGTAATTCCATCGCATCGTCAATAAGCGGTTCGACTAATTCGCTTATCTTGTAAACAGCCGATGCATACGTTCCTTCTGGAGCCAGCGAGGTGATTTCCTGATTCTGCTTCTTCGCTTCCTCAATAAAGATTCTCACGATCGAATCAACCACGTATAACGTCCCCAATTTGTGCGACGATGGTGCAGCTTTACAGTTAGAATATAAAATGGTTATCAACTTCGACTCCTCCGATACATTCTTCACTGCAAGGTCGGTCAACTTCTTTATACGCGATCCTGACACACCAGGAGCCTTCAATGTTGGCAACTCCTTCAATATAGTCTCAAATTGTTCCACTGCTGACATATTACTATAATTCTATGTTTCTTTACGATACTATCGACTAGCACTAATTCTATTACCAAAGATACGGTTTTTAGGATCCCAGGTATACTTTTACGAGTAGGGAGTAACTATTATTAATTTAATTTCTTGGTTTCTTACGCTAGAGTAATCAATCCAATCAACACAATTTAGTATTACAATAAAAAATTTTTGGGTGACACTAACTAAGAACTGGAAAAGAAAGCTGTTTAAAATACAGATTTACTATTCTTTTTTACTATCTTTTTAATACGTATTTTATATTTCACAACGAGTTTATTACTCGATTCTTCTAATAATGTTTAGTAGTTGAAACTTAGGAACAATAAATTTTTGAGTATGATGGCAACAGCGCAAGGTCGTCTCTTTTTATACTCCTGACGCCGGCGGTACAAAACAGATATTACCCGGATAGCCTTCATTTGGAGGTTTTGCGCCAGTATTACAAATTCTCAGCCGGACTTAGATATACGCGTAAGTGAAAAATTCTAACCTCATAGAATAAAGATCATATATATGTCCCATATATATCACGTTAGCCATAGTTATAGAGTCATTACGTTTCCAGATGCTTAGCAGGTCAATCATTAGAGCATACTCTACACAAGCTAGCTCGTCCTTAATTTCGTCCACGCTACTTTTATCGAGACAACCAGTTATAACTGCTGATTTGCCAGAGTTTGAGAATCAGTACTACAAATACCAAAATGAGTTATGGAAGAGATTAATGTGGACATTTCCAAAGTGGTTCTACTATAGAGAGGGAACATTGTCTGAACAGAACTACCGAGAATTAAACAAAAACCCAACTTTCAACAACCCAAATATCGAATTTCCAAGCGGTAGGCCAGAAATTAGACATCAAAGAGACAGAAGATTCAAACAGGAAATCGAGTTACCTAAGACATATAAGGAAGCAAAAGAAGGCGAGGAGGACGATTTTGAAGTGACGCCTGCCGACGACTTATCGCGTAAGATTGTTCCTAATTCTAGAGTCACCGATGCCGACAAAAGCGGCGATTTGACCAGCTTGGAAAGAAAGTTGAGTCGTACATTGTATTTAGTCATCAATAAGGAAGATAAGTGGATATTGCCAAACTTTAGTGAAGGGGAATCTGAAAAGTTGACACCATTACATAAATTGGCTGAGGAAGGGTTATACAAGATGGGGGGAGACAAAATCAATTACTTCAACGTTTCAAACAAGCCGTGTCATTTATATAAGAACGACAACGCAAAGGAATACTTCATAAAGTCTCACATCTTATCTGGTAAGTTTGAGCCACAAGAACCAGCATTGAAATACATGTGGTTAACAAAAGGTGAGTTAAGCTCATATTTAAATAAAGATTACTATAAGGATATTAAGCATTTATTAAATGATGTTTAATATGTAACTTAAGTCATACATGTACATAGAAATAGTTTATATACATTAATCACTGTATTACGATACACTTTGTACCTATGTAATGTAGGGATGACTTACATATCTTTCTTACCTTTGATTGCCTTTTCTGCAGCCCAGACTGATCTATCTAATACAGTACCGACCATCAAAACTCCGGCAACTGAACTGATCACACCTAAGATAAACCCAGACCATGTCTTAGCATATTGTTCCTTGTTGATAATTTTCAAAGGAGAAATTTCGAAATGGAAAAATACACCAGGTAATCCACCTCTTGCATGTAATGTATGTTTATGGTCTTCGTCCTTACCACCTCTTAAAGGTCTGTGATGGGAAATCACAGAGAATTGATTGGTATCCAAAGGTAAGGACGCATCTATAAATTCGAATCTTGTAGCAACAACCTTTAAATAATAAGATGCAACATGATATTTTTCATCAAATACCAATTGATGGTTATCTAATGGATGAGTAGTTTGTTGCAAGTTATTATCGTGCGGATCAGAGCCAAAGGAAAAATGATTTATAACGTGGTCAAAATTAAACTTGTCTTCATACTTTTCGAATAAAGACAAATCATGAATATGCCTTCCGGGTGCAGTAGATGAAGATCCTGGGGCAAAGTGTAAATTACCAGATATTCTGTTAATTTGCGCCGTACCTTTAACTCTACAACCTTCGTTATTGTTGATTCTTTCGGTCAATCTGGAAACATAACCTTCATTTTCACATTGTTCAATATCCTTACCATCGTAGAATGCCCACATTTTCTCTGCATAAGCTAATTTCACAGTTTCACAGCTATTACAACAGTATTCATTGTTATCTTGCGGTAATGCACCATAACATGGACCACATTTCCCATCAGCACCCACTCCTTTGGCCATTTCCTCCAATGATAAGTCGTTACTTAACACTGGTGCTTCATCAAGAGTTTCGTGATTGGATCCTTTGAGAATTCTGTACTTTTGGAAACCAGATTTTAAAATGTCCAACTGAAGATCTCCACTAATGTCAAGAATATCCAATGTTAATACATCACATGGCATATTAGGGAATGAAATATCTAGATTTATATCTAATTTTGTATTGATATCACGATCAACCACCAATTCTGGCCTGGTAATAATCAGAGTATAATCTTTGTATTCATTACGAATCAAAAACATAACTATGAAAATACACACCAAAGTAATAATCCCCCCGGAAGCAGTCTTGATCTTTGCATCTTCCACAGTTTTTGCAAACACGTCTATAGATATCAACTTAGGTCTGGAAGACATGTTGGAATGGTGATATTATTGGCAGAAAGAACTCAAAGTCAAATTGACTAATCTACGTGGCCGTTGAAAATTTATTCGAGCGACATTTGAAATTTTATCTCCATCAAAAACACTATACAGATAAAATTTGATTACGATCCAAGTACGATCGAGATGAGCTTGTCAAGTAATAAAACGTTCTTTAAGAACTTTATTCCTGTTGTGATAAAGGATTCGCCAATTTCAGGTGGTTCTGGGTCAGAGATCATACACATATCCATTAACTTGACTGGTACAAGATTGGTTAACTCGAGGACCGATAGATCTATAAGGATATGGAAGTGTACTCCGGAAAGACTAATTGATCCGGTAATAATAGAACATCCACATCTTAAGGCAGTAGAGCGTGTCGCTTGGAATCCCAAGACTGAGTTTTCATTTGCGACGGTTGGTAGAGACGACTTAGTAAAGATTTGGAGATGCACAGGATCTTTGGAGAAGGAATTAACAATTGCTAAAAATGGAAATACAAATGGGTCAGGTACTGAAACAGTATGTCAGGTAGTGGCATACTCCAATGATGGCGAGATACTTACTGTTGTTGACAGAGATTCAACGGTTCTCTTGTACTCTGTATCGAACAACTACTCCAAACTTCACGAATTCAAGTTGAACGACCATATTTACGACATCCTGTGGTTCCATCACGGGCACTCCTTTTTCATGTGTGCATTGCATGACGGATCTGTGCCTATATATAAGGTAACGGACGTCATACTGGATGCCAATGGATCTGCAGAGGCCAATGGATCTGCAGACACCAACGATTCGAATTCCATCACAGTTGAGCTCAAACACAAATTGCTGGGCCACAGATCGTCTGCGACATGCGTAGTAGTCGATCCTAGAGGTAAGTACTGTGCGGTGGGCTCTAATGAAGGGGTGGTATCGCTCTGGAACACTTCGTCCATGCTCATCTCAAAGGTGCTCACCAATACTGATGAAGCTATCGCGAATATCGACATTAGTCGTGATGGTACATATGTAGCTGTGGCATACGATAGCGGAGAAAATATAAAGATCTTTGACTACGATACTACAGAACAAGTGTTCGAGATCCCCAATAGTAACAGCGGAAACCTAGCCTTATCGCATGTGGCCTGGTTCCCTTCTAAAACCGCTTTTGTGCATACCAGTGATAAAGGTAGAGCAATGACATTAATGAAGAAACCTGGTAAATAATCTCTATATCTAACTTTTGCATTCCCGCTGCACAATTGAACGTTCTTTTCACTTATTTATATTTATGTCATGTTACTAATTCTTTGATATCAATAATTGGCCATCGCAAAAAGTTATCCAACAAGTCATTCGATAAACCATTCGACGTATTGCATTATAATAAGAAAATCCTAGGTCAGTCGTCGAGTCTCCTATTTTACTGGAATGTCTATTCTAGAGACGATTATGATGAAATAATAAATGGTGGTAAGAAATCATACTGAAAAATGTACTACTTGAACGAAATTTTTTTAATTCAGCCACCCCTACAATGTATCTCCTGTACTATGCCTAGTCAAACTTACTATAGTCATTAGCCCTACTTATTATACACGGTTAAAACTTGTCTTTGTTCTCTAAACGAAGTATATCGTGCGAAGCGATCAAAAAAAAATACCTTCAAAATATCTTTATAGAAAAAAACAAATATACATTTACTTTAGAAACAGTCATTGACGGGCAATATAGATACATAACTATTGGTGAAATAATCGAAAATTGTTCTAAACAGACATTAAGGATGGATGCGAATACACAGGCACCAAGGCCACAGTTTCGGTCAATATCAACAACATCAAATCTTTCATTAAGCTCATCCTCGAGCAGTATCACAAGAGTAGCACTGGGACCAATACAAGCGATGGGAAATAGTTTTAATAGGGCGCCAAATAGCGAAGATAGTCTATATTACCAGAGTTTGCGCTTGAAACAGCGATTGGAGTCGATTGAGGAGATGAAGCCATTTTTAGCGGCAGCATTCGAGGTGGCCGAGCAGAGTGCAGAGCAGCAGGCTTTGGCATTATCACAACAATTACAAGAAGATGTTAGGTCTAGTGGAGACAATGAGTTCAGGGCATCTATGGGATCGGGTGGGTTTTCAATACACTCTGACACGTCTTCGATGACTTCAGTGGGGACCAACAGTAGTCCCGGAAATGCTAATAATAATATCTTCACATTCACAGCAGGGGTGCTACCTGCGAATATTGGAGTGGATCCAGCAACACATTTGTGGAAGATGTTTCAACAGGGATCGTCGTTGTGTGCATTATTCAACTGCGTGGTGTCGGACTACTCGATACCAATTGTTGGCAGTGACGATCTCAGAGTGTGTAAGAAGTCTGTATATGACTTTTTGATAGCCGTGAAGATGCATTTAAGCTTTGAAGATGATTCAATGTTCACCATATCCGATGTATTCCTGGATAACACCCATGACCTTTTAAAAGTATTAAAAGTAGTGAATAAATTGGTGTCATTAAAGACCTCTAAGAACCCAGTAAACTTTGAGGTGGATCAGTTAGCAATAGGTGAGCTTACCATAAGCGATGATCGATCAAAGGTGTTAAAGGAGATGATAGAAACTGAAAGGAAATACGTCCAGGACTTGGAATTGTTACTTGCGTACAGAAATGACTTACAGAGTGCTGAGCTTGTCTCGAGTGAACAGATACATATACTTTTTCCCAATTTAAACGAGATTATAGATTTTCAAAGAAGATTTTTAAATGGATTGGAATGCAACGTAAATATCCCACATAAATACCAGAGAATTGGGTCAATCTTTATACATGCTGCAGGCGGCCCGTTCCGTGCTTATGAGCCGTGGACAATTGGTCAAATTTCGGCCATTGACCTCATAAACAAGGAACTGATAAATTTGAAGAAGTCATCTACATTATTGGACCCGGGATTTGAATTACAATCTTATATTATAAAGCCAATTCAAAGATTATGTAAATACCCCTTATTATTGAAGGAATTGATTAAAAACTCGCCTAAATCAATGTCTGATAGTAGCAGCTCCCATTCTGCTGCGTATAATGAATTGATATTGGCAAATTCCGCTGTAAAAGAAGTAGCCAATCAAGTCAACGAAGCTCAAAGAAGATCTGAAAATGTTGGTTACTTACAAAGTTTAATTGAAAGGGTAAACAACTGGAGAGGTTTTAATTTAAGGGACCAGGGTGAACTACTTCATCATGGCGTGGTGGGTGTTAAAGATGCAGAAAACGAAAAGGAATATTTCGCTTACTTATTTGAAAAGATAATATTTTTCTTCATTGATGGTTCAAATATCTCAAAAGATAAAGAAGGTAAAAAGAAAAGAGATATTTTGTCTTCCAGAAAGAAATCTCAATCATCATCAACAACAAATCTCTTGGATACATTGAATCACGCTAAGGATAAATCTTTGCTAGAATTAAAGGGTAGAGTGTACATCCTGGAAATTTATAATATTTCAATATCGAATTCTCAAGGATACACACTAGTTATTTCATGGTCTGGTAAGAAGGAAAGCGGGTCATTCACTTTAAGATATAGAACGGAAGAATTAAGGAATCAATGGGAGAAATGCTTAAGAACTTTGAAGACGAACGAAATGAATAATCAGATTCATAGAAAATTACGCGATTCACATGGATCATTGTTAACTAATGATTCTTCAGGATACGATGGTAGTTATGGTCACAATTCTCATGATGGGTATTCATCCAGATCCTCAAATGGCTCCACCTATCAACGTCATCATTCGTCGTCATCCACATTCAGTATGATGAGACAATCCAGATCAAAGTCTTCCTCCGACCATCAAAATGCCCGTACCTCTTCATCTTCATTATCCAACTCTGCAAATAATGCAATGCCTGATAAGAACGAATATTCATTCCTGTCTGCCTCTTCTGGTTCTTCCATGGTCGCAATTAAACTAGTTTATAATAAGATCGAAATTCAAGATATATTACTTGTTTCCACTGCCATCCAGTTTAACGATTTGCATCTGAAAATATCTTCCAAAATTGCTGCCAGCAATGAGGTCAATGATGATATCCTTGTCAATAAATTGAAGTACAAGGACGAGGATGGCGATTTTGTGATCATGGACTCTAATGATGACTGGACTTTAGCCATGGATACTTTGGATGAACTTAACGAAAATAACGAGAGTGATGAGCGTATTATAACAATATGGGCATCGTGAAATGCTTACATGAACTTTTGCACTGTATGAAGTGGTATACAGATTAGACTACAAGCTATATGTATGATTCGAGCAGATCTAAAGTCATTTCTTAATTTATATTTATTAATTATTATATTGCCTAGTTATTCCAGATAATAATTCATGTCTAATACCTGTAAGTTTTAGTTGAACAGCTAATCAGTAGTTTTTGTTAATCGCTTAACAATCTTTCAAATTTGATTCGTCAAAATTTTTATCGTAAATTCATCGCACTGTCTACCTAGTCGATGATTCATTAATGCAAATTTATCTTATTCAATACGAATTGTTAGAGTATACAACAGATATTTAGTAAGATCTTGTTTATAATGTTGAAGACTAAGAATTGTTTAGCTTTACGTCATTTCGTAAAGAAAAATAATATAGTGAGACACTTTTCCACTAGATCTTTGTTAGTTCCATTAAAACCAACTACGCATAGATTACAGACGATTCGTAAATTCTCCAATACCACCAGGATAAGGAATGAAACCGAGGAACAATTAAACCACAATAACGAAATACCGTTCGAACAGTTATCGGAAGAAGAACAAGCAACATTGAAAGATGAAAGAGCAGCAGATTCAGTTGATGTTTGTATTGTTGGAGGGGGACCGGCTGGCTTAGTTACTGCCATTAAATTAAAGTTGCTTGATAATGAACATGGTACAGGTGAGCTAAGAGTTGTAGTTTTGGAGAAGGCTGGTGATTTCGGTGCACATATTGTTAGTGGTGCAGTTATAGAACCCAAGGCATTAAAAGAATTATTTCCAGATAGCGAATTTTTGAAAGAAGATGGATCAGGAATTCCATTACCAGATGATTTAGTTACCATGGTAGAAAGTGATGCAATGAAATACTTGACCAAGGAATATGCGTATCCAATGCCTGAACCACCTCAGTTAATCAACCATGGCAAGAACTATATTGTATCATTGAATAATGTGGTCAAGTTTCTAGCTGAAAAAGCTGAAGAGTTGGGTGTTGAATTATACCCTGGAATTTCCGTAAGTGAGGTCATCTATAATGAAAAAGGTGATGCGATCAAGGGTGTGGCTACAAAAGATATGGGAATTTCAAAAACTGGAGCTCCTAAGGATTCATTTGAAAGAGGTATGGAATTTCACTCTAGAATGACCGTCCTTGGTGAAGGTTGTCATGGTTCGTTAACAAAGGAAGTAATCTCCAAATTTAATTTAAGAGAAAATAGTGAACCTCAAACCTATGGCTTAGGAATTAAGGAAGTCTGGGAAGTCAAGCCAGAGAATTTCGAAAAAGGTGCAGTAGCGCATACTTTAGGTTATCCATTATCATCAGATGTTTATGGAGGCGGATTTATGTACCATTTTGGTGATGGATTAGTTACCGTAGGTTTGGTTGTTGGATTGGATTATGCCAATCCTTATATCTCACCATATCAAGAATTTCAGAAAATGAAATTACATCCATTTTACTCAAACGTATTAGAAGGTGGAAAATGTATATCATATGCAGCTAGAGCCCTTAACGAAGGTGGATTGCAATCTGTTCCACAATTATATTTCCCAGGTGGAATTTTAGTTGGTTGCTCAGCAGGTTTTGTTAACGTACCAAAGATTAAAGGTACACATACTGCCATGAAATCAGGTATTCTAGCTGCAGATACCATTTTCAATGAAATAAAATCTTTGGATCCTGTTGAAGAAGGAACATTAGATGACGCTGAACCAATAGTATTAAAATCATATGAAGAAGCATACGAAAACTCGTGGGTCTACGATGAATTAAATGAAGTTCGTAATGTCCGTCCTTCATTTAACGGCCCATTAGGATTCTTAGGTGGCTTAATTCATTCGGGTCTTTCAACTATGTTTACAAGGGGACATGAACCATGGACTCTAAGTCATCATTCTACTGATGCTGCGGCCACAAAGGATGCATCTAACTTTGAACCCATTGAGTACCCTAAGCCTGACGGTAAAATAACTTTTGATCTCTTAACTTCAGTATCAAGAACGGGCACTTACCATGACGATGATGAACAATGTCACTTGAGGATTCCAAATCAGGATTACCGTAAACATGCAAGCATTTCTTATCCAAAATTTAAGGGTGTGGAGCAAAGGTTTTGCCCTGCAGGGGTCTATGAGTATACTGAAGATGAAAATGAGCCATTAGGTGTAAAATTCCAAATCAACGGTCAAAATTGTATTCATTGCAAAACTTGCGATATCAAAGTTCCAGCCCAAGATATAAATTGGACTGTACCTGAAGGTGGTGGAGGTCCAAAATATTATATGACGTAACTTGTCGTATAACAATAATATTTAATAGATGTGCAATAGCTACCAATACTGTAAAATAGTCTACGAATCCAAAATAACTTAAATAGTTTATATTATACAAATAGAGATGTCATGACAAAAACAAAAACAATAAAATAATACTAAGTACTATCAAACACATTTCTTGAAAAATAGTCATAAGCCGTTAAGAATAGTTTTTTAATATACACACAGGATTAAACATGGTATACTACTTCCAGTAATAACCAATAATTCCCACAATTAATACAATAAAATAAATCAAACCACGATGATTTGTGCCTGTTTTTAATATCTTTAAATAAGGAAAACCTTAAACCATGAAATTTTTTTCCGATTTTAAATATATTACCTGAATGTTTTTCATATCTTTTTTTAGATTTTTAAACAATTTTTAAGAACTAGAGAAGTTAAGGAACACGAGAGTAATGAAAACGCCTGAAAATAATTGACCAAAAAAAAAAAAATAACAATCAAGTGAAAAATTTATCCAAATCTGATAAACTAATCTCCTCGGGGGTACCAATATCCTGAGTTAAAAATCCTGATCTCACAACGTTCAACCACTTTTTATTAGAAGGACAACCCACATTTGTATTGACTGATGAGCTCGCACTAGACTTCAATGAAGACTCAGATGATTGCGATGATGGTGCTGAAATTGCTTTAAAAGCGGCTGCATGCAAAGCAGCAGCAGCAGCAGCAGCATTAGCATTATGCGAACTAGGAGTTCTTGGGGCCCTAGGGGCAGCCGCAGCGGCAGTCAAAATCTTTGGTTTCTTATTTGACGACAAGTAAGACAAAGATTTAGATCGCTTACCATTTTTCTTGAATGAGTCGATGTACATATCATTCATTTCTAAATTTATATCATTTTCTTCATCATCATCCTCAATATCATTGAAAACCTCGAATTCTTCAAACTCTAAGTCGGATTCTTGTTGATTATTAGACATGATCTTCTTAGATTCACCATTAGTTTCAGTTAATGAAGCTGTTACTGGTGCAGAAGAATATGGGACAACCAAGTTCGATTTATCTAAGGCATTTTCTAAGAAGGTATTCTTTGTAACCCCTAAATCAAACATTGTTTGCCTTCTTGGCTTCAAAAGGTTGGCTTGTTTGTCAGCTTCTAATGAACTTGGCTCATCAATTCTAGATGAAGAAGGACTTTCACTTTGATTATGTTGCTGCTTCTGAACTTCCATGACATTCTTAACATGCAAATGGAAATCCTCAGTTAAAAGTCCTCTATAAACATACACCATTCTTTTAGGTGATGCATCAGCCCAATCTCTAGATAAGGCATATTTAAGACTTGAATCACCCTTTTCGACTCTTTTAACATAAGCATTCAATTTAGCACTCACAAGGTTAGAAGTTTTCGTTGACAAATTAGCCATGTCTGGATGTTGTTCAACTAAGATATCACAAATTTGTTTAACGGTCATTCCGCTTCCTTCAGGATCTTTCTCGTATAATATCACGAAAATTGCATACAACACGTCGTCCTCTAAGGAAGGATCATCTTTTTGACTAGGTTTCGGTTTCTCGCCTGTAACAGGAATTGTGGTTGAGATACCTGTTGCAATGGGTGCCCTACTGGTATTCTTAGGTTTTTTCAAAGCATTAATATTTGAACCAGAAGAATTGATTGACGGAGATGAACCTCTTGAGCTGTTCGAAGTAATGGATGTAGTTGAAGATGGTGCAATTGTTGTTGCATTTAATTTCCTATACGAGTCTGAATTCATCAAAGAATCAGGTGAAATGCTTCTCAGGGTAGGCGACAACTCAACGGGGCTTAAACTCTTCTCTGGGGTCAATGGCTTAATATCACTCTCAGAAAGCTTCCCTTTCAAGTCATCCATTGACGGCTTAAAGCCTTGAGTCATATCATTGTCCGATGAACTTGTCGACGCCGATGAATTTAAGCTCAATGTCTTGGGGTTGAAAGCCGGGGATGCGGGAGTTGAAGTAACTGGAAATCCAAGAGGTCTTCTATCTGCCAAAGCCATGTCTCTTCTGTAAGTTTTGTATCACTTGTAAATTTATAAATACTTGCAAAATATGGATTTAAACAAGTAAAGTTATTGGAAACAATGGTTCATATAATTTGAAGGATGGAATATTTATAAATTTTTAATTATAATGTAATTGCTAAAACCAAATTCTTAGTTTTACCGGTATGACAAAAACCTTTTGATGGAAGGGTAATAAGTTATAAAAATAATTAAATATTATAAACTAATCCCTGTAATAACACTGATAATCTTGATTTCTGCCTTGTATTAAAACAAAAATCTGGTAAAAAAAATGTTAAAAACGAAAGAAAAAGAAAAAGAAAAAAAAAAGGTCTATAATAAACATTAATATCAATTATCCTTATAAAAAAAACGTTCAACTATATTACTTATAGTGTTTTCTTTGTAGTTGGCCCCAAATATACTAGATAAATCCAAGATTTCTATTTTCACTTTTTTTTTCAACCCCTTATTAACAAAGTCAAAACAAAAAATCCTGGCACTTAAAAGTATACATTTACCTCGTAATAACCAAATAGTAATCATACATTTTCTTTCGATAGATCTATGTATCTTTTTCTTAACCTATTGTAGAAGAAGTATTAATGGTTCTTATTAAACAGGGATTGCTTAAATTTTCAGATGTAATTTTCAGATGTCGCAAAGTGAAAATTTACTCTCCAAACAGCAGTCACGATAACAGTTCTTTTCTTTTCATTCATTCTTCGTTCAGGCACACTCTGTCTATCTACGGTCTACTTGACAGTGGGGTCATCTACATCCCTTTTATGGTGCCTCTGTCGTGCTTTTTGCTCCCGTGGTATTTTCTAATTCATCTTGTATGTTTCTAAAGTTGACACGAACACAGATCTCGTAGGGCCGGAACCGCTCCCATAAGAATCTTTGCCGGCACTATCAATATTGAATCATAATTACCCTAACTCTACAAACTACTAGTAATACTCATGGGGATCATCCTGAGATCTCATATCACCTAAAATATTACTCCTATGGCAATATCAACGCTGTGTTCCAGTGCCATCTGATAAATATTGCAACCATTTTAGGCGCGCAAAAGAACTTTTCCAGGTGCCGATAAGAAATAAGCTACATAAACATAGATAAGTACATAAACCGTGCTTAAAATAGTTCAATTACGTGCAAACTTCCATCAGGAGTAAAAACATATCCCGGAGTTCATACCGATACCGAGAATTCATATGCGATTAGCTCCATCTATTCCTGTTTCACTAGTATCTGTATGGATGTGTAGATCACTAAACACAGTCGTGTAAGTACCAAATCATAGCAATTACGTTGCAACAAATGTGAATTAAATATCGCGATAAAAATAAGTCACAGTATTATCATATGACATAAGAGGGCTGAAACCCGTATTCGTATATTTGCACCTAAAATAAAATAGAGGTGCATATTGTTTGGGGTAATTGACACATAGCGGGAATATCAACCGACGGCTGGCGGTTAAATTTGACGACGGAACACAAAACCAAACACGGCTAAAAAGGTTCAATTTGCAGCTTAATATGCTAAATTAGGGTATATTAATTCAGGCTATGTCAAGGTAACAGGTACCAGTATGCGACCACATACATTCCACAAATATCAGAAAGTGGATGCGAACAATTAGAGTAACGTACAAAGAATCGGCTATTGTATTCATTTGGAAGAACGACTAATCTAAAATTACGGAACCTTTGATAGCCAAATCTATGGCTTTTTTAGACTTTTCGAAATCATCATGCCAATACGAGTCCTGGTAGACACTAGACAATGAGTCGCCGGATGGGGGTATGAACCAGTAGTTTAAAGCAATGTGTACGTTGTCCTTGTTTTCGGCTACAGTGCTGCTGCCAAAACTTGATACTTCGTGGAACCACCCAGTAGGCAAGTATAGCATTTCGCCCGGTTTCAACCATACGGTCAATCTAGGGGTGTCCAAAAACCCTGGAAAGTGTGTGTTACTGAATTTAATAAGCTCAAGGCGTTCATGTGCGTTCAATTCGTCGAGGTGCAATAGTACAGGTGGAATGTGAGAGAAACTAGGGGGGTTTATCGGCTTATGGTCAAATTCTGATTCCTGCTTATTGATGATAGTTAATAGTTCCTTTCTCGCTTCTGGATCTACGCCTTTATGGCCTAATTGCCATTTGGCGATTTCATGCACCATGGCACCATCTTCTCTGACGTGACTCCATGTTGGTGCACTTTCGTCTCTGTGGTAGTCTATGACCCCTGAATTGTAAACTTTATATATAGTGCCAACAGTAGACAACTTATCTGCATCATACGGGCAAAATAATGTAAATCGCTTGGATCCAGAAATCAAGATGTAGAGGTTATCTGCATGGTCATGATGCAAACCGGACGAACTTCCAAGTCCAGGAATATACTTGCTGGAGAGGTCACAAAGATTCAGTGGTTTCTGACTTGGTGTAGAGTATCCCATCCATATATTCATCTGCTGTGGAATCAACATGGATAATAACGATGGGGTGTGAGGTAGCTTGTTGTACATGTTTGTCAAAGGAGGCTGAAATAGTTGACGAATCCGTTCCCGTATTTCCTCTTCTTCCATCTCGTCGTCTGAATCCTCAAAATCATCTTGCAAATTGCTCATATCTATCGGTCCAAAAGAGGAATCAGATTCCGAGCCGTCCTCCTGTTGAAAGAGTGGTTCTCCTTCATCTCCATCATGCTCGTCTTCTCCGTCTTCTCCGTCGTCCTCCTCATTATCTCCGAACTCCTTTTCTTCCTCCTCAATCTCCTCTTCAGATTCTTCATCAGAGTCGTCACTACCGTGCGAATCGTCGGCATTGCTATCGTCCTCGTATTGAGTCGTCAAATAGTAATCAGCCTCGCCTTTATCAAACTTTTCCACCAATTCGCCCAATCCCATGCTGACTCGCTCGAGATTGCTTCCGAACCCTCCTTTATATCTCTTTTCCACCTTCAACTTACCATTGTATCCCAATAACCCCACCAAATTATCGATATGGAAATCATTAATATTAATTTCGTTGATACAATTTGTAAATTTAACTGGTTTTCTAGGTTTGACATATCTTTCATAAAATTCGTCCTGATTTAAACTTTCTACTTCAATCTGTTCTATGAGCTCATCATCTTTACTTATCCTATAGTTCGTATACTCATGTGTTACACTGTGGTTGTGTTTGGTCTTCTTAATTCCCATAGCCTATACCTGCTTCTTATTGTGCTTTTTAACTTTTTTGCTATTATATTAATTCTTACTATTGTGCATTTGCCCAGGTATAATTTCTGTACAAGCGATGATATTCATCAAAAAATTATGCTCTCGCACGAAAAATATGTTCAACGGAATATTCCTATTACAGACTAATGTGATTAGGGGACCTTGAACAAGAAAAGCAGTAACCGGGATTGCTTGTCGAATCTTAATTTCTACCCGTTTAGAGTAAATCGGCATTCTATTATATATCAATGTCGCACATGGTATGTTGCATAATGCGAAGTTTAATTTCACCTCCTTTCGCTAAATTAGAAAACCTTTCGTCCAGTTTATAGGACATTTTAAATGTCGATGAAAATGGTCCAGACTGACATTCAGAAATTCATTCAGCCGTAGTTTATTCCAATAATAGTGATACATTTGCCAGGGTGTCTGCATTTTCAGGGAACAAGGGATTGGAGAAAGGTGGCATTTATTGAAATAAACTTGTTCACATGGATGCCGTATTATATAATCTGCATAGATACCAGATCCCGATATGAAGAATTTACATAGATAACAAAGAACCAATAATTATTAGCGTTCGGACAGTTGAACGAGACAATAATAGTGCATCAAAGAATTATATAGGTAGATACAGTGTTAAATTATTATATGAAAAATATATTGATTGGAAGAAAATGAATATGAAATCTAATAATGAAATGATGATAATGAGATGATAATGCAATTTAAGAGATGTAGAAAGCTGGCTTTCTTGCCCTTAATTTTTTATTTGGAGATTCCACGGAAGTGTCATCGATTGATCTCTTTCTGGTATGGAAAAAGCTGGCTGTAGTTGTAGTAGTAGGCATATGCAATGGAGGATGAATATCCACCGGAGACCTGACAGGAAACGAGTCAAAAGGCATGTTTTCCGGCGAAGCTTTTGGCGATGGAAGCAATTCGCTGGTAGTGGAAGAAATGGAATGGTTGTACGAGTGGGTGTTAGTGGGAACTTGAGCAGGTGAGTGCGGTGGAAGTTGAATTCTGGGGGATATGTTATTGGAAACAGGCGTCCTTGGGAAGTTAGCGTAACATGCATTTTGGGACGACTGTTCATGGATTTGAAACTTCGGGGTGATTGGTGTGATGTTGGCGTTTTGATCGTTGACGTAATGTATCATAATCTTCATTAATTTGAGAGATGATCCAGTTTCACTAAAGTACTTTAGTTTCAACGAAGGAGGTGGACATTTCAATATCTTCAATAAATTCTTGTAAAATGAGTTGAATGATGGGAGATCAAGGAGGGAGTCTTGGTCCAAGTAGGAATTGAGGTGTTTCAAGACACCCTCCAACTTGATAGGAACGTTACAAATAAGCAAACTAGTCAATAGTCCTCCCAATGCTATTTGTGATGAGCTATTGTTGAAATAGATGTTTGGGTAAAACTGAATCAATTCACAGATGTACACGGCCATGGTCTTGACATTATTCTTGCTGGCAGGAGACGAATCGACAAACTTAGTCGAGTCCAAAATGTTGATGTAGATCTCAATAAACTGGTCGAATGTAGGGTTGCTAATCAACCAGTTCAATGACTTCAACACATGGTTCTCCATTTCCAAAAAGAGCTTCTTGTCATAGCAGTTACAGCACATCTTGCACAAGTCGAACAACGACGGTATCTTGAACTTGGCATCCAAATTCTTGCAACTGATCCAGAGACTTGTCAATCCCAACAATTGGTAATGCTGCTTCTTCACAATCCGGGTGGAGCAGTATCTGTCAATTAAATTCACCGTAAGTGGAAATGTCGACAACGACAAATTCAACTTACTGATCACGTCCATCAAAAAGTCTAGCAATAATGGCCTCATTTTTAAATTGATTTCTGGTTGTTGTTGTATCAACGATAAACTGGGGGCAGTGGTATTTTGAATCGAACTTAAGTGGTATAGAATATCTACCTGATATTCATCTATATTTAATCGTTGTTCCATAGTGGCTGTATGTAACAGACAGAGATTATTATGTTTTTTAAATGTAAGATGTATCAAAAACTTTGATGAAACGAATGAATGTAGTACAATTAAACTGAATTAATCATAGAGACGTATAAAGAATTAAAGATGTCGTTACAATCACTACACTTCATCAAATTAAAGTTTTATGATATATATGTCCTTTTATATATATTCAAGTTGTCCATCTGGTCTACCTCTGCAACCAGGATTTTCTGATACGCTCCTATTTTTCACCTTGTTGCTTTTATACACACCTCACATTTAACTTTATTCATCACAATGTCGTTGGGATAATGTATATCGACTATTAGCATAATTCTGAGAGAGGCGAACATTTCATGCAAACCCCTGTAAAAGCAATAGACATTGAGAGAAAATAACCTAAGGTTTACAATAACACCACGCAACCATGGTTGTATCGTGGAAACTAGACTTGTTGGTTGATCATTACTACGAGCAAATAATGTCGTGAAGTTTATCTCGGTTATCCCACCAAGAAATAAATTTATGACGGGTCGAAGGTGGCCATGCATGTATGCTAGTAACACCACCAACAACTGTGGGCGGGAAGGTACGAGTGCGATGGTAGAAACATTACACCTCCTTGAGGAAGGGAAGTAGAAGCCCTATATGCACTACCAACTTATGCCGTCGTGTGAATGGTACGGAGGTTCGCCTGTGGCATGAGATCGGTGTTACTCTGGCATACAGTTTCAGGACTTTCATTTCTTTTTCAAAGGTTCTGATTACATAATCAGTCAAATAGGATTTTTTTTTATTTTTCACTTTCAAGGTAGTATAATACGGGCATAGGATATAGAACCGTACGTTCCCGCATATAGGATTGCAAGTGCCAGGGCGACAAAGAAAAGACAGAATCTACCTACGACGTTAACAGTAGTATTACGAGTGCAATGAATGATTTTGAAGCCACAGCTACAGAGTCCCGGGATGAGATGATACAAAGACATAAAGCTGAACAGAAGGACTTGGTGGCCACCATCACGGGAATGAAGAAACAGGCAAGCAAGAAAACGAGGAAAGGCGTGATGAGCAAGTGCAACGAGCTCCAGGAGAGTTTAAATCAAAAGCACAAGATAGAGTTGAACGAGCTTGACGGAAGCGTAAAAGAAGATGCGGAGGACGAAATAAGACCCGAAGACTTGCTCGCGCAAATGGAATCCACCACGATTCACGATGCTAACAATGCTGAGGAGAAGAAACTGTCCGCCCAACCGACTGCTACGGACGCACCACAACCAAAAAGAAACAGACAGAAAGAACGGTTAGCCAAACGAAATGCTAAAATTGAGCAGATGAGGGATGAAGCCCGAAAAGAGTCGGAGAACGATGTCGACTACCGAAAAATCGAACAGGAGTCGATGCAACATATAATTGAACGGGGTAATTTAGCGGTTTACGAAATTAAGCCCGATGGGCATTGCTTGTTCGCTTCGATCCAAGACCAGTTGATCCGCAGACACTCCAATGAAGTGTCAATCCAGCAATTACGAGAAACTGCTGCTCGCTACATGGAGACCCACCCCGATGATTTCATCCCATTCTTATTTGACGAAGCAACAAATTCCTTACGAGATCTTACGGACTACACCAAAGAACTAACCACCACGGCTATGTGGGGTTCGGACATGGAGATAATGGCATTAGCTAACGAGTTCGACTGTCCCATCACAGTTTTGATGGCCGGCGGTGCTCCTATTACCATCAACCCAGAAGGTGCAAATCCGGAGTTAAAATTAGCGTTTTATAAGCACTCTTTTGGATTGGGCGAACACTACAATTCCTTAAGAGACATTTAAGCGTATAGGGTATAATTATAGACATTTTAGTAGATTACGTAAGTCATAATCCTGATGTAATTAAACGTTAAATTCATGTATGATCCTCGTATTTATGCATTATGAGACATAATAATCTTTCCGGATCTATCCGATATTGCAATGCCGACCAATAGAACAGCCGGGAGAATTTGTAGCAAACAATAACCATTGAGATCGTAATAGTAGTGCCGTTCTACTATTCACCAGAATAGGAATTGTTCCAGGGACCGTTGACAACGAGGACTGATATACACTATTGTTCCTCGTTTCGCAGGTCGTCTGGGCAGCGTATAGCAAGCCTACTTAATATGTATTATGCTTTTCAAACAATGTTGCTTACATCAATTGAATTTGTAAGATGTGTTATATTGACGATTACAGTTGTGTCTCTGGTCCCTGACAAGTATGGGTGTCTTACTTCTACTTAAATTATTGTCAAAACTCGACAACAAGTACACTATAGGGGATACTAACAACGTTCTATTACCGCTCAAAACGCGCGAAGGACATTTTCAAAGGATGAGCTTTCCGAATACTCTGCCACCATGTTAGATACCGCGGTTACCAAGTCTATGGCTCTGCCTCAAAATAATCCGTTGTCTAATTCCAACCCCAAACGTAAACGTGAATTGAAATATATATGTCTCTTTTAAGAATATAGGTCGCTTAAATGCTCATGAGATATTTTCACCTCTCTTGCATATCACCGCTAATTCTCTTCGAATTTGCCCAAATCTGGTCACTGTCACTTAGGAATTTCCTTTCGCGGATAAATTGAATTTAACCTATATAGATAAAGTCGGGTGAGAGTTTTAAGAATGTCGCTCATGCAAGCAGCTCCCCACCAACACCTCTACTTTCAGGACTTCCTTATACGAAAATAGATCTCTGATTGTTCTTTTAATGGAAGACAATAGGGTTCTATGTATTGTTCCATTGGCAAATCCCCATCTGGTGGATAATTATTTCAGCGGCTTAACATCTATCGAAAGAGAACGGCACGGTGTAACATGAATTAAAGAGCCATAATTCACTAATAGCGGGGTCATGTAGGTTGTGCTTATTCGAAAGGTGGCCCAAGGCATCAAGCATTTCAATAGTCGATGCAAGAATACTTTACCTTTGTACAATAGATATAACAATAAAACAATTTGCCATATAATGTCGACTTATAACAGCCTAATTGTTGTCAGGGAAGTTAAGGGCATGCTGAGCCCAACGGCATTTACGATTAAATCCTTATTTTACAGGACGGCAACCGTATCCCAAGCAAAGATATTTGGGTGGTGTGGTTACAAAATGGTGGTAGGATAATTTTTGTATTTTTCACGTGATTGATGATGTAGTTTTTTTTTTTTTTTTTTTTTTTTTTTATCCGAATGATTAAATTCTTCTAGATGACTATATATATATATCACAAGAATATTAAATATGGGTTGGTTTTGGGCTGATAAACACGTAGATAAACAGGGAGCCAAATGTCCTGTTGATCATAAGTCATTCAAAAAACAAGATGTTCCGGAAAGTGCATGTCCAATAAAACACTCTCCTTTAGTAAGCGAATGTCCTATCACGGATAACGATGAAGTCTTGAACCCTCTTAATAACATGCCAATGGCCATTTCATCAGAAAGGGCACCGGGTCAGAAGATATCCTTATCTACAGAGAGAACCATCTCTTCTATCCCCCGAGGCGAGCTGGATGACCAGGGGCTCTGGGAATACCCATCGCCGCAACAAATGTTGAATGCAATGTTAAAAAAAGGTAAAGGTCAGGGTATCCCTGAAGATGCAGTCGAGTCGATGGTAGATGTCCATAACTTCTTGAATGAAGGAGCTTGGCAGCAAATCCTAGAATGGGAACAAAAATATACCGAAAGGACGAAAATAGAGCCAAGATTGTTAAGATTTACTGGCAGACCGCATGATTTATCTCCTAGGGCGTCGATGTATCTCTGGTTGGGAAAGATCTTTCCCGATACTTTCAATACTCAACCACCATTCGACAGACATGACTGGACTGTGTTAAGGTCTTTGGGAAGAACTCAAGGTTGGGAACAAGTCAGATATGTCATTGATTATTATGGTGCTCCAGATGATGAAGAAACAGGAATGCCCGCATTTATCTTGGATACAAGGCCAGCATTGGATAATCCAACGAATGCATATGACAGATTTACGCATTGGTCTAAACCTCTCTGGAAAAGAGCAATGGGTGATTTTGATGATTTGTAATGCGTAAACTACGGCTTTTGTACATTCTATTATTCGTGGATGCTGTTAACTGTGTATTTATATTAATTCCGAATATAAATAATTGTAAATATAAACTTTAACTATATACAAGTTGTATCTAATTGGCATTAATTAGACTTATTAATTTCAAGTAGCAAATTTGAAGGGAACTTATACTTATCAGTTAATGAGCGAAGAATTTTTGGTAATTCATATCCCAATTCGCCACTAGTTTTATCTGCCATCTCATTAATCAAAAATTGAATCTGTTCGGTTTTACCCTTCTTCAAGAAATGAGAGAGTAAGAAATAAAACGTATAATAATTTGGTTGGATCTTCAAGTTCAACTTAGATTGTTCCTTGAATCTCAAATAATAATTCAAAGCTAAATTTTCATGTTTGGCTAATAAAGATTTAATCATTAAATTCCAAATTCTGGCATCATTTCTCACTGCTTTGATGTATTTGTCAAAAATAGTTTCGGCATTACCGATTAATCCATAATCTAATTCACCCTTCATCATTGATGTCATAGTCTGAGGTGAAAGTTTATTCTTCTTGGAAATATGGTCGTATAAAACTCTTGCTGCGGCTAAATTAGTACCGTCTTTAACCAATCCATCAATCAAAGTAGCAAGAGTATATTCATTCATCTGAAGACCATTAACACCTGTATTTTTAAAGTTGGATAATAATTCCTGGATGTCTGGCGCAAAACCCTTTTCGCGATGCAATTTGAAGTATAAATCGATTACGATTGTATAGGTACCGACCTCATCAGGTATATTATATTGTTTCATAAACTGCAAAATACCATCAACAGCTTTATAATTCTTCGCCTTAGCATAATGATTAATAAAGGAATTCATTGCCGTTGTTGAAGGAACATAGTTTGATCCATTAGCCATTAATTCTTTCAATTTTTCCTCGGCCTCGGTAATTCTTTTATTTAACAAAAGTCCAATTAAAATATTATTATTGGCAGTATGAATAACTTTTAAGGAACCCTCACCGTCTGCACTATATTTATTCAAATACTCGTCGACTTTGTCAAATCTGTTCAAGTTTGCAAAACAGCCCACAATGATCGATAAGGTCTTAGGGGTTAATTCAGTGCCATTACCAATGATAGTTTCAACAGTCCTATCGATGTTATTCACAGTAGTGTCTCTTTGTTCTTTAGTCAATCCACGAATATAGCTAGGATGTCCCATTGATCTGATGACGAAGTCCCAAGAAGCTATACTTGGTTTTTCAATACCATTCTGAATCATTTGTTGGAAAACTTGGAAAACTTTAGAATGCACTTGACATTCATAGTAGCCGTTCATTAATCTAATTAACGTATTTTCATTTATTGGTTTATTGTTTTTGATTGAAGCATCTTGCATTTGTTCATACACCCTATTAAGTAAATTAGCATCGGAATGCATTATAGCATTGTTAATCTTGTTAATAATAATAGATCCGTTAGGGTCCAATGATTCTAGATTGAAAGCTTCCAACTTCTTCTCGAACAACTGAAAGTCTTTGCTCAATGACTTATTTAAACCTAATGACATAATAGATCTCTTAATTTGAAAGATTTCAGGTAATTCCTCTGTTTGCAACAATTTCAATGCATCCTTGAAATCATATTTAAGGTCTTGTAATAAGCACGATTGAACATATGCATAGTAGGCAAGATTCTTAATATCATGCTGATTGAAGCCATTTTCTCTTAAAACCCTGTACATCTTAAAAACGTACGGATTATTAGAAGTCTTCGAATATTCAATGAATTTTACCCAATAGTGCAAAACATTTTCATACATGACCTTTCTGTCTTCACCACTCTTTAATTCATGGACCATGGCCCTAGTGAAATGATACGCATGGGCAACATTATACGAAATGAAAATATCCAAGATTTCATTGCCTGACCTGTTGGTATTATAAGACGGATCTAAAGATTTATCTATAATTGAAGCTAAAATTGGCTGGAAAATAGAGAAAATGGTCTCATCACTAAGACCTTCTACCTGTTGAATTTCACGCAAATAGCTTAATCCCTCTTCCAAAATTTCAATAGATTCTGTTAAATCATTACTAGATGAGTTAACTGATGCACGAATCTGGCTACTAATGTCCCTCAATTTGTTATTTACAGGTTTGAACTTGGATGCCTTTCTTTTCCCTTGAAAAGGTTGTTTCTCATTCACGACTTTAACTTCATTATTTGTAGTTTGAACAGTTGATTGGAAACGACTTCCCACCAAAACTTGAGCTCTAGTCCTAAGAATGCTGGACCGAGGCAAGTTCTTATACACTAATTGTCTTAAGGGAATCATATCTCTACCTATTGTTTCCACAAGGTGCAAGAGTAATTTGAAATAGTACAATATTTTAATGGCCGACCTCGAATTTTTCAAGCGGTTGTGTATGCGAAAAAATTTTCTACTGGGCACTAAACAGTCTACAGTTAAAATAAATGATCTGGTTAGAATTTCTTGTATTAAACGTATATGATCTACTATATGCTAATAATATCCACCAGTGGATAAAACTATTTGTAATTGCCTTCAAAAAATCACTAAATTTTGTTAGTTGGTTGCACAAACGGCTAATTATCTCTTACGAGCTATATTTTAAAAATCAAGAAATTCCATAATTCTTTAAATCAGTTGTCTAAAAACGTCTTATCATGAAACAGATTAATCAATTGAGCTGGGTTTAAGATGGAGTCCTTCGGACTCGTTATCATCATAAAGAATTAAGTTTAATTTTTTGATCTCAAGCCACTAAAAGTAGCAATCAAGGTATTATACATACTTCTTAATACTTTAGGACTAATAATATAGAGAAACGAAACTTTGAATTATGTTTCAATTTAATATTAATATAAACTTAAGAAAAAGAACTTCAACTAAGAAAAAGTTTTTAAATAGGCATCAACCGCAAAGAACTCGAATAGTAAGTCCTGTATATAACATTACTATATATAATATAATATATACTTTCGCAAAATAATGTCTTCTAAGAATTGGTTTCGTGGTCTAGTTGGTTATGGCATCTGCTTAACACGCAGAACGTCCCCAGTTCGATCCTGGGCGAAATCATTTTTTTTTTCTTTCTTGATATTGCAACGTTTTGTAATCAATTATTATTAACTGCATTAATTCATATTTATTTTAGCTCACAGAAATATATAAATTTGATCTAAATACGAAAAGTTCATGCAAGAATCTAGTACTAAACATGTGGTTGAAGAGGATAATATAACAAATACTGGCGAAAATGAAAATAATGACATAACAGAGCCATTACTATTCTTTAATTATCATGAATTTTTAAGTGAGAATTACAAAGTTCACCCATCCTGTCGCCATCATTCTAAAGCAAAGTCTATAGTTGTGAATCATTTTCCTAACAATCATGTTCCAATCGATTCTTCTACGTATAGTGATACTAGGATAGTTAGAATCCCAAGAATTTTCAGCACGATAGGGCTATCTGATATCATCCCACAGTTTTCAAATTATACTCCTGGTGCCGAGCCGGCAGCCATAAATGATCAACAAGGATTCAATTTCAAACCTGTTGGTATATATGACAATAATTCGTTTGGTGAGACATCTGTTACGCCTTTAGTACCAGGTTATTTGACTGAGGAGGAATTCCATACTATAATAGGTAACATAAATAAATTTCTACACGAAGCATTCAACCCTTACAATATCTGGAATTTGTTTGACAGCATACTTGATCTCCTTAGTGCCAATTTTTATAATAAAATAATTAATAACTTCTTAGTGGAAAGTTATTCCAAACGTAAGTTACTCCAGCTAGAAATGTATATTGAAAATGATATCAATTTAGGCATGTTTGCCAGCAGACCTGGCTTAAAGATCCTTTCACCAAGGAAGAGTGGATACCTATCAGTATGTATCGATTATTAAAATCAGCATCAGAAGCATTATACTAACTATCTAGCTTGACATCCAAATTTTAAAACCTCAATGATGCAGAATGAAGATTACAACAAAAATACCTATTCAAACCATTAATGACTCTAATTGTATTTTACAATCATAAATAATAATTTCGAAATAACGTTAATACATAAATTTGTATATCCATTATGTACTACCTCATCACTAGTATGCGCACTAGATTATAACCATGAAATAAATGATAATTATTCTCCTTCGGAACTATATAATAAATATATGTTCAAGTATAAACCCAGAAGTATGAATGGTGTATTTGCAATTGAAAAGCCATCTGGTATAACATCGTCTAAATTTATAGGCGATATTCAGGCTCTTTTCACGAAATCAGAAATTTTTAAAAACGATCTAAACGAAGCGAAGACCAAAGCAGCCCAAGCATTAGGAACGGATAAAAAATGGACCAAAGAAAGAATTAACAAACGAGTTAAGTCTTTGAAGGTCAAAATTGGACATGGAGGTACTTTAGATCCAATGGCAAGTGGTGTGTTGGTTGTTGGTGTTGGATTAGGGACTAAAAAATTGCAATATTATCTTAGTGAATGCAATAAAACTTACGAGACGAAGGCATTATTGGGCATTTCGACAACTACTGGAGATGCAGAAGGCGAGATCATTACCAAAAATCAAGTAAGTCACGTAACTCAAGAAATGATAAAGGAGACTGCACCAAAATTTATTGGTGATCTTAAACAGACACCGCCCATTTTTTCGGCGTTGAAAATGAATGGTAAGCCATTATATGATTACGCAAGGGAAGGTATCCCATTACCAATGCCTATAAAGGTTAGACAAGTCAAGGTCTTCGATATAAAAGTGCATGATGAAGATTCATTGCGCACCGACCATGAGTTTCAAACATTGCAAAGTGAATTGGATGAACAAGGAAATCCAAAAGAGCATGAATTGTCGAATAATCCGACTTTGAATGATTCACCTTTGTATTTCTCGGAGCAATACTTGTCAAAGGCGGAGGCTGATGGCTTGTCTAAGGAAGTTGGTAAGCCTAGGTCGTTGGCTGATGATTCGCTTCCTGAAAAATTACCATTAATTCATTTAACTGCTGACGTCTCCTCTGGAACATACATCAGAAGTTTAATAAGCGATTATGGTAGGGCATTAGAGTCTTCGGCGTACATGGTCGAATTGATACGAGTAAAACAATCCGAATGGCAGTTAGGAAAAAATGTATTTAAAATATCAGATTTTGAAAATAGAGATGAAAGAATTTGGGGACCTGTTTTAAAAAAGGTCTTGGACAGTGATCACGATATAGATGTTCTGAAAGAATTGAATGATTTTTCTGAAAAAATTGCTCCCTTGCTTGAGCATGAACAAGAAGTTATAGAAAAATTTGGTGATGTTAACAAGCAAGATAAAGAGGTGCCTGTTACAGATGCTACAAATATAGAAAATACAAAGGCAACTGAGAAAGACGCAGAAATCCCAAAGAAAAGAACAATTGACGAAATAGAAAAATAAGTATATAAAATTTTATAATGTAAGGAATTTTTTTGTACAAATCGCAGTGAGCTCTTCAGCATACAATTTATGATTATTGGTCCCTACATTTTATAGGAATAGAAAAATAATGGGATTAATGAGTCCAAGTTTTAAATTATCGATAAGGCATTTTTCTGTCTGTCGTCCATTATCAAGGATTTATACGAAAACATCCATAAATCCAGACAATTTTCGTCTTTCACCACCAACCAAATTTGCTCCCAAATCATTACTTTTGTTATCTACGCCATCTTTGCTCACACAAGTGATAGAAGAGTCTATTCATTTGTATCAAGATAATGGAATACAAGTTATAGCTGCTGGAATAGATTGTATGGTTCCCAATTCTCGTCGTCATGGAGTTTCTGAAATGTGGCTTGATAAATATATAGAAATCAATGATTCGGTCAGATTAGAAGAGAGAGACGATATAAACAACCAACCAAAGGAAAGGGATGGGGTACATGTAGTCAAGGCCAACAAAAACTGGAAAAATATTGATTCTAAGTTTTCAATCAACATACGTCCAGATTCGAAGATTGATTTGAAACTTGCAAATACAATTTTTTCGACTACCAATCTAGTGACATTATTTTATTTTCAACCAAGTCACTTGGGCGAACAAAGTAATTCAGGTCAGACATTATGTGATTTAAGAGTGACATTGCCTGCCGATTTGTTTAAGGAATCTCCAAAAATCGAATCAAAAGATAAGTGGACACCATTACGTGATTCAAACTCTGAGTCTTTAGTTATAACAAGCTGTACTGGTAACTTAGTGAAATTAATCAATAAAAAGTCTGCTGCTGGATTTTTGGAACAAAATGATCGCTTAATGAATATCGGTTCCAAAGACACCCAAGTATTTGTTAAAATATATAAAAAAGGTCTGGAAATTGCACAACGTTTTAAAGTAATTGCAGGAGGTGGTGAATGGGGAACTAAAGCGAATATACTTGCCATTTCACCTGAGGCTAAACTAGACGTGGGTGATAGAATTGAGTTCTTTATGTTGACTCCAGAAGATAGATTTTCTACTACAACCAAACTTGATGATGCCTCATTATCGAATAAGCTTACCTTTGAATGTTCTTATGAAGAAAGCTCCTATGGGCTTAACGATAACGACGACACAATTGTCATGGAAAATGTATTTGGCTGTGGATCAGAAAATGGGTTCATGTATAATAATATTCAACACGTATCTGCCGGCGAAGGAATATCCATATCATTATAGATCTTGTAAATAGTATTTAATACTACAAAAAACTATAAAATACTACAATACGATCAATGGGTAATATTTTGATTAATACTAACACCATTCTCTTCCGTTGCGCAACCTGAAAAAGTATGTTGCGCTTTATAAGTTTATGGGGTTAGATTTATTTCAACCTTTTTACTTCTATATTAATTGTAATCCAGATTTTCGCTATGATTAAATATATCAAAGGTGATCTATTTACTCATACCCCATCAAGCCGTTCAGCGATTTCAATCTTTGCCCACGCTTGCAATTGTCGTGGTTCATGGGGTGGAGGAATTGCTACAGTCTTTTACCGAAAATTCCCGTCGACCTACAAAATATATGCAGATTACTGTAACAAGCATGCCGACGACCCATCTAAGCTATTAGGGACAACCCTATTGATTCCTTCGAGTTCTAGTGATCCTGGTAATGAAAATGGACAAAGAATAGCTTATGTAGCATGTCTTTTTACCAGTGATTTTTACGGAAAGAAGAAGCTAAACCCCAGCGATATAGCTGCCAATACTGACTTATCGATGAAGGATTTGGACACTCAATTGGAACTGCTTAAGAAGGAAAAAGAAATCGAATCTACAGATCAGGGTGAGGTAGTTGTCAATATGCCAAAAATAAATGCTGGCCTTTTCGCTGTTCCATGGGAAAATACAGAAGATGTGTTAAATAAATTCAACAACCTCCACATCAATGTATACGTGGTAGATTAGGCGTTTCCCGACAATAGACATTTTTCTTGGAACTTCTCATCGCAGTTTTACCGGATGAAATTTTGTTTGGGGTATATATAAATAAATATGGTTTTAACAAATATATGGACGAATAGTATTACACTGAAGTAGATTATAGATGATATAAGGCATAGGTGAGTGATATGTCTAGTTTGTTTTCATTTGACGAGGAGAAACTCGCTAAGGATTTCAATGATACCATTATAGAAGACGAACTTGACCAGAATGAGCTAGATGCAAAACCTTTCGATGGTAATATACTTCAAGTACATACTGAAACAGCATTTCCAAGAAGAAAATCGTCGGTCTATAGAAGGTTATCCATTAAATCGGCAGTATCGGTAACGTCCCAGGATTTCATAATTCCAGCAAATTATGAATATTCAGATGAAGGAAACCCTGAATTAAATGTATCTAACCGTAGAAAAGTATTGAGTGATTTTACACCTATAAAAGTTTTGGGAAAGGGAGCATATGGGAAAGTTCATTTGGTACAGGATAGACATAACAACAAGCTATTTGCCCAAAAACAATTAAGGAAGCCAACTATTAATATACATGAAGAGCAAGGTGACATCCACACAAAACACGTCAATCGGACGATTTCCGAAAGGAAAATTCTAACTAATATCACGCATCATCCAAACATCGTGAAGTTATTCTATGCGTTGCAAGACTCAGACAAGTTTTATCTCATTTTAGAATATATTCCCGGAGGTGAGTTATTCCATCATTTGACGTCAAACAACTCGCTCGGGAATGTTTTCAAAGAAGAAGATGTTGCATTTTATGCAGCCCAGATGGCACTTGGCTTGAAGCACTTGCATGAGTTAGGGATTGTCTATAGGGATTTGAAACCAGAGAATTGCTTGTTAAATAGTGCTGGCCATTTAGTATTAACAGACTTTGGCCTCTCCAAAAGTATAGGAGAAGACTCCGAAAACAGCTGTAAGTCCATTATAGGCACTCCTGAATACATGGCTCCGGAGATTTTGAAAGGAGATGAATATGACTACCTGGTCGACTGGTGGTCTTTGGGTTGCGTCATATACGATATGATGACCGGCAAGCCACCATTCACCGGTAACTCCCATAAAGTCATCCAAGACAAAATCATTAAGAACAAGTTGAAAATGCCATTTTACTTTTCCATGGATGCGAAGGATCTTTTAAATAAATTATTGAACAAAAACCCTGCCAAGAGATTTCCTGTTGACGAAAAATGGTCCATATTTGAAAGCCATAGATTCTTCCGCAAACTCAACTGGAAATCGTTGAAAGCCCAGGACGATTCCTGCAATCCTCCCATTATTCCGGTCATTACAGATCCTATATTGGCTGAAAACTTTTCGGAAGAGTTTACAAGTATGGCTATTAGCGATTTTGGTGGAGATCAAGGTATAAACATACCTCATGATTCGGACTACAATATAAATTACTCATTCAAAGGT